GGGCTTAGATGGTTATCAAAGATTTACCAGCTGCTGTCTAGAAAATATAGCACACATGTAGCTCCCATTGTCTGAAGGACAGGAGCCTGCACAGGGGTGGGTCCTTGACAGACTAGAAACCCTCACTAAGGTTTCTGTCACTAAGGACATAAGAAAATGGCAGAGAAGGCAGGACACATGGGGCCAGGAACACGTTCATAAGGATGTTGGATTGTGAAGGGAGAATAAAGAAAAGCAAACCCACTGGATGCAGGGATTGGAAAGAAAACAAAAACAACACAAGATAAAAAACAGTAAGTATGGAACTGAAAAAGGCAAGGGAAAAAGCATAACTCTGGCGGACAAGGAGGTTATTAAACCACTTCTTTGAAATAAGGGGGGGGGGTAAGAAAAACCAGAGTAAGGTAGGGAACAGAACAGCAGAACAAGGGGATAAGGGGATGCAGCCGATGAATCAAACTGGCTACTATGGCTATTAGTTTTTCATTTCTGCAGCCCTGCCAATAGAGCAACATTTGAGAAAATGCCAGCACTTATTAAAAACAATATGTGAGGAAATGTTTGTTTTCTTAATATTTAACCAACAGGTTTTGCTATGTTTTTGTGTTTTGAAAAATAAAAAAGGCTAAGGCACATACACAAAAACACACCACACACATTTTATCCTATTTTAAGCATCAATGTGTTTGAAACAGAACTTGAGAGTTGATTTAGATGTTACAAATAAACTTGGGACCATAACACTGATGAGGACTAAAATCCAACATTCTACAGAAAACAGGAGGAGGCTCTGCCCAAAATCTAGTTCTCTATTCTGTAAAGTCACAGTGCCCTAGAACTTCAGGAGGCATTTAAAAGATTAACCTTCAAAGGAAAGTCGGCAGATGTGCTTTGCGTTTTTCAGTATCCGACCACTGCAGTGATAAATGCTTCGTGTGACAACTAAATACCACATCAGAGAGCCAAAAGGTAAAGTGTGTTGGTTCAGAGTTGCTCAAAATTGGTACAACTCTGACAGTTTCTGACATGTCTACATCCACCTGTACTATTATTTACTTAGTATTTTCTTCAAATCAACTTGCTTTTCTAAAAACTGAAATACCTACTTTAGGCTTGTCCTAAGCAATAGAGAAATCACCAGTTTAATGTGCTATTTATATTCTAAATACATATTAAATAAATGCTTACATATTTAAATAAAAGTGTACCTATACACCATCTAAAAACATTGTACAGGCTACAAGTGGTAAGGTGTACCACCCCTAGAAAATCCAATCCAATCCCAATTTCTCTAACAAAGTAAATCTTGAAATTGTTCATGTTGAAATTCCAAGCTTTTGTTCCCAAGGCAACTATATAGTCTATATTTTAAAATTTCTAATCACTAAAACTCTAAAGTGCTTGGTTTACTGTACAAATATTATACCATACCAAAAAAAAAACTTGGAAGAAAAATAATCTCTTGTGAATGAATAAGCCAAATATATATATTTGACAGCATTTCCTTAAAGGAAGCCAGTCTAAAACAATCTTTGATCTGGCCACCACTTGATAATTGCCTGTTTTCTTACCATACAGCTTGCATACTTACATAATTCTCAAGTAATCTTTCAAATACATGTATTTCATCTCTCACAGATAAACTTACTACTCCATTTCTTCTTTCATAATCTTTTCTCTTCTTTGTACCTCTCATTTCCTAGACCAGGTGCTTAACAAATGCTTGTGGAACTGAGCAAAATCAATACAAAACAAATCTTATGCCCACAACAAATTTGTATCAAGCAAAAAGAGACCTTTATTTTAAGTTGTGTATTTCCTTAAAAGTAAGGATTTTGCCAAACATTTTATACACTGTAGGAAATATACAACGATTAGAAAAGTGCATGTCATAGTAATATTTCTTATATGTACCCCAGAACCTCAAACACACAGCATGGGACAGCTTCAAGGGTATAACCTTAATACTGTGAAATTTTATAAATTAGGCTTTAGTAAATTCTACAAAGTATTTAATAAAAAAAAGTCTGCTTTTCAAAGACATAGGTACTTCATTGTTTCCCCCACTCCACAAGACTCACATGAAAATAAAACACTTAATACAGAAAAAGAGGAAAAGTCAAATGAAAGAAGGAAAGAGTCAAATGAAAGGAAGAAAAGAAAAACTGGTTCACAGTATTTGATTTACTTCTGGACTCTCTTCCTGGTTCTTGAACCTTGAAGAGAAAACAAAGAGATTTAAATCACTAATCATTAACTTACAAAAGCAAAAGAACAGAAATATAAGTATTTCCATATATGGTTATTAATATTTAAAAATCTAATTGACTATGATGATTTGTGGAGACGAAACTGATACACAAGTTATAACTGTTAATACCCTAAAAATCTTAGGAAATTGTGTTAATTTTTTAGTGTGTCAAAAAATATGCTAACAAAGCCGACCTTCTAGTTTGAAGTTATACAGAATGCATCCACTGGTAAAAACATACCCCATTTACACTGGTCCTGAACTATTTCTCCCCCAAATTTTTATTGTACAATTAAAAACATTATCTCCTAATGTAAACTATAGCAACAAGATAGGTACTCCATAAGCAACAAGGACCTACTGTATAGCACAGGGAAGTCTGCTCAATATCATGGGAAAAATATTTGAAAAAGAATAGATATCTGTATATGTATATATACAGATCACTTTTCTGTACACCTGAAACTAACACAATGTTGTTAATTACACTCCAATATAAAATAAAAAGTTAAAACAAAAAAAGATAGGTATTCCTTGGGGGGAAGCACTGAGGATATGCATATTATGAAAAGCAAGGCATTTTTTCTAAATGTGTTGCTTTTTAAAGCCTGCTCCCTCTACTCTTTAGGCAGAAGAGCACTGGGCTAATCCAAAATGCAAAGTCTTGTCCACTAGGGATTAAACGGACCCCAGCTAAGTCGCCTTCTAGAAAAGTATCACATCTGATACTGGCCTAAGTGCCTTATGACAGTTCCTCTCCAACTATTCCTGCGCTGGAAGAATGCAGTGCTTCTCTACCGGGAGCATGTGGATCCGCCTCCCCAAGGAGACTTTGTCTCCCACCCCACCCCAGGCCACCTCCACCGCGAGCACAGCAGAGTCAGAAGGACAAGCTTAGGCCCGATCACAACTGCCTGTGGTGGCAAGAGGAGTGTGTCTTCCATGGCCTCGGGCTTCCCTCTGCCAGGAGAGAGCAATGGTACCACGGTGAGGGCAGCGTGGGGCCCACGATCAATCAATAAACACACTGAACAGAAAAGAGATCAGTACTTCTCTTCTGAAACATACAAAACATTCTTTGAATCTAGGACAAAATATCTACCACACATGTCTAATCATAAACAGTTTCTAAAGGCTTTCTGACTACAGGTTTATTTAGGTACTTAATTGGAAGATCAGTTTGTTTGTTATTTTTCCAAGTTCTAGTTTTTATTCAATTGCCATACATTTCAATTCATGCAAACTTCAAAGTTATATGAGTATCTTCTTTTCTCTGCCACTCATAGTGCATGGCCTACACTATGGTGAGTTTAAACTTTTGAGTTTTTTCTTCAATTTTTGTGATATAGCCTTCTTTTAAAAATATTCCATGGTAGATTTTTAGGTTTTTACTTCAACAATTTTGAAATTAATTTTCCATAGAAAACTGAGAACGCTGTGATTGTCTGAAATTGGAATAACAGGACATCGCAAGATCAAGGTCTATAATCAATACTATAGTACATCTCCCTTTCAATAAAATTCGAATCTATAGTCACATTAAAAAGGACACTAGGGCTTCCCTGGTGGCGCAGTGGTTGAGAGTCCTTCTGCCGATGCAGGGGACGTGAGTTCGTGCCCCGGTCCGGGAAGATCCCACATGCCGCGGAGCGGCTGGGCCCATGAGCCATGGCCGCTGAGCCTGCGCGTCCGGAGCCTGTGCTCCGCAACGGGAGAGGCCGCAACAGTGAGAGGCCCGCGTACCGCAAAAAAAAAAAAAAAAGAAAAAAAAAAGGACACTAAAGTCAACGATTATCGCTATATTCTCATTAATGTCCTAATTTGACATTTTACTCTTAGATTAAATTCCGTTACTGCTTATCCCCATTCAATCTAGATTTAAAGTTTTTCACTGCAACTAAGAATGCCATCACCACCTGCAACTTATTATATAATCATATTATGCAACTTAGAGACTTTATCAGTTCAGTATTTTTCCTAATAATCAATTCTGACTGTTGCAGAAAAAAATCTATTTCTCCTCCCATCCCATATATACTCATTTTCATAATACTTTACTAGTAAATATATACTCATTTTCATAATACTTTACTAGTGGTAAAAGGCCCAATCATAAGACTAATGTGTAAAACTTAATACTTGAAAAATAAAATATACAAGGTTGGGATACTCTTCTATGATTTTATAATGCAGAAGGAAAAAAACAAGTGGGAAATTTCTTTGTAGGGTGCCTTAAAAATATCTCTTTCTTGACTAGACCGCAACTATTCAAGGGGTAAACATAAGTCACGCTTTCCTCAAAGAATCCTCAAGAATGGTCCAAAATCCAAGGTACTTCAAAAACACCACCAAGAGTAGGCTGTTGAGTTCTGTCTGTTGTATGAACGGTAGGGACAAAGTATACTGGCCATAAATATCATGGCTGTATTAACTAATTTTTAGTACAGTTCTGAAATATTGGCCTGGTTTTGAAATGCCAGAATATGTGTAGTTTTTAAAGGTTTATCATTTTGTGGGGAAAAAATTACTTGGAGCAAATTACCAAATTTTCTCAATTGGTAAAAATCATGCCTTGCTTAAAACTACAAGGATTAGAGGCCTCTGTTCTTCTTGAAAACGACCCCTCACCCCTCTCTTTCTTTGAGAAAACCTACACAAGACACATTAGAAAGCTTTCAGAATGTGTTCTTACACAATAGACGCCCAGCTACTCAAAATGAGTTTAGGTGTATCGAGAAAATTATACACGTTTTTTAAATGGTCTAAATAGATATTAAAGGAAAGTTGTCCCCATTTTGCTAGGCACAGCACTCTGAGAGATCACACCGTGAGAAAAATCTCTTACCATATGTAAACTATAAATCGTGTTTGAAAATAAAATTGTTAATGAAGAAACTGACATTTCTAAAGCAGCTGTTAGAGGTGACCATTCTTGAAACATGTTTCTGACGCAAAATCTTAAAGCTCTAAAACACAGAATTCACTGAATTATATATTTCTTTAAAAAACTTCAAATGTAATAATGTGCCTTCTCATTCAGGTTAAACTGATGAATACATAAACATACATTTTCATGAACCCTTGGATCGCTTTAGTTTTCTTTGCTAGAAGCAATAACATTTTACTATCTCAGGTAATATTTCTCTCATTTATGAATATTTAGATAGTAAAATACCTTAACTAGCCTTATACTTTAGGGGGGGAAAAAGAATTACAATTGGAACAGTATTTAATTAAAGCAATTTAGAGTTTATATGAATAAAAGAGAATTTGATTATTTTTTATCTTCATTTTTTAATATCAAAAAGAAATCTGGATTATTCTCCTTAAATTAGTGATGGGGTCTACTCTCTTCTTTTGTCATTAATAAATAAAACAAAAATACGAATATATTTTCTCACAGTAAAAACCATCAGTATAAGCACCTTAAATTAAAATTTTAGGTATAAGAAACAGTTTTCGTAATTACAGTCAAATTTAAAATCACGTATGTATCAAAACAAATACCTCTGATGCTCACTAAGCAAAGTTCGGATAACAAATGACCTCTAGGCATGAGGAGACGCATGAGTCTTCCCTATGCACAGCTGGAAACTGGCTTTGGTCTAAATGGGTATCAACCTTACTATAACAACGTAAGCCCTTTCCTAAACTAAAATCTCCCGTTTTAAAATGTAAGGGATTTGAGTAAGAATATTACTCTATCTTCATAAGCGCTCCTTAACTTTGCTCCCACTCACTGCCACAGCCGCTGCTGCTGCCTCTGGCTGAGACATGCTTTGATGTGCTGCTCCTTGGGACTCCCCACCTCCTAGTAACAGAATGAACAAGACAGGGGAGGAAGGGGAAAAAAAACAAAAACAGGAGGGAATGGAAGATGGCAGCAGAAAAGTAAGAGGGACTATTTCAAAACCTTTAGCTTCCAGAGTGACGTTATACACTCGCTCTTCAGTTATCCCAAGGATTCTCTTGGGTAAATTCAGATAAACCTAAGGACGTACTATCCATAATATATAATGAAGAAAATGTTAATAAAAGCAGGGTGAAGATGATTCTCTTTGAAAGTCAATTTTTGCCTTCCGCAAACATGCATGGCTATCACTGTCAAAGGGAAGGTAAAAATACATCACTGGCCTAACTCTACTGGGCACTTACACTTTGATGAAATTTTTACCAAAAATAAGCCTCTTCTATTAGAAATCAGAAATATTTCAGTACCAATAAACTAATAAATAAATAAAAGGCAGACAGGTAGAAGAGATATCTGGCGGGGGGTGGAAGTGGTACTGTAGCCAGCTCTGAATCTCTCCTCACTGAGGCAAGTAAACCATCTCTCATGAAACCTGGAACACATTTTCCCATCTTCTGAGCCCCACAGGTGTGCCTACACACCACAGACTGGCCATTTATTAACCAGACCAAAGTCCAACCTAGTCCTGCCCTTTGCAGATGCTGCCTTTGCTAATGTCACTTCTGGAACTACTCCATACTAAAAGTGCCTTCAGCACCAGTACATAAGCCATTGAAGAAATGACTTTATACCTTGCTTTTTGCTTTAAGACCTTTGGGAAGTGATGATTCGAGGCTTTAATTCCTTGCATCCCAACTTGCTGAGAGAAAAGAAGAGTTGGCAGACTCTGCAGTAAGCCATGTACTAACCACCTGACTCCTGACATTCCCTCTCACGCCCAGAGTTCGGCGGTAAGTGTGGAGAACCAGAGAGACAGTAGCCTGAGAGGTAAGAGTTCTGGTCTCTACGTCTAACCCTTTCACAACAGTTCTGTCATTTAAATGCTCTGTGTCTTGGGCTCCATATCTGCAAAATGAGAGTAACTCCTGGTCTCAACTTCATGATTATAGACATGATTATAGTAAATAACACAATGTGAACAAAGGACATTGTGATACATACTGTATAGATATTAGATCTTCTCCTACATTTTTTAAATTATAAAATGAGAATGTTATGACCCAAATAGTTAACCCCTTATTCAGTGGGAGGAAATGAAATTTGTGTTTATTATATATAAGAAAAGAGCTAAGAGGCAAGACTGTTCAACTTACGGGTTTGTGTGGCCTCTTCTGTCTGTGTATCTGAGCATTCCATATCTTCGACACCAGGTTGTGTGCTCTGCTCTATTTCTTTCTTTCTCTTCTTACATATAAAAATTAAACAAAAAAAAAAAAAAGAAAAAGATGTGGCATGATGGTCAATTAAGAAAATATACAGGGCTTCCCAGGTGGTGCAGTGGTTGAGAGTCTGCCTGCCGATGTAGGGGACATGGGTTCGTGTCCTGGTCCGGGAAGATCCCACGTGCCGCGGAGCGGCTGGGCCCGTGAGCCATGGCCACTGAGCCTGCACATCCGGAGTCTGTGCTCCGCAACGGGAGAGGCCACAACAGTGAGAGGCCCGTGTACCGCAAAAAAAAAAAAAAGAAAATATACAAACTTATCAGATATTAGCATATATATATGAATCTATACAGGTGTGGGTATGTCAAAACATACAGGAAGAATACACACAACTTCCTGGTGGGGGTCACCTAAGGAAAGGGGCGGGGGGTGAAAGAAAAGGGGATTAAGGGAACCTTCAACTATACAGTTAGTCTGGAAGTGGGTATATTTCTTATATCCACCTCTAACTTTTTATGCCTCATATAATTTATTATTGAAAGCCATGTTTTAACCATCAGGACTGATCATACAGAAACTCTCTTTGAAAGCTGATACTTGCTCAGGCCAATGATACTTATCTTCCCCATTTTACGCTGCATGTGTGGGGTGGGGTAAATGTACTTGATAAATAGGAAAATATGTGCCTGGCCCATGTATCGCATCAGTGGTTATGCCCTCTAAACTGATGGGGAAATTCTGTGGATCAATAATGGCAAACTTCCAATAAATGTTTTATAATTTAAAGTTTAAGAGGGCCATAAACCTTACTGTAAAAGAAGAGTCTTAAAAGTACAAAGCGCTCCTAAAATCTCAAAAACAGGTTGGATTTTCCACCACTCTCTCAGGCCTTTCCTATTTTCTACATATTTTTCTAGTTGAGTGTTACTTAGGAGTTAATGCCTACGTTCTGTCACCATTCATTCTTCCCAAATGTTCATACAATGTCTTTTTCTTACTTTCTATCACTACATTTCCTAACTAGCTCAGTCCTGTGTAAAGTTTTAAAATACTTAACATCTCTATACGTAGGTATAACTATAGAAGGACATTAGTAAGGAATTGAAAACTTTGCACTTTTCATGCAACTTTATCCCATGTAATCTCAAATTTAAATGTGTTAAAATCTACATCAGAATTCATTACTTCTCTAGGTTGCCTAAAATAAGTCTGTAGCATTCAGGAAAGCATCTGATACTTCCCAAATTTCACAGATTCACGACACATCAGAATGTCCTCATTTATATTTTCCTAACAATATTAAGTTAAACTTTGCCTAAGAATTTTCCTCACTTCAGGCCATTTTGTGTACAGCTATAAAAGGGTATAATGTCTGCTGACAGGACATTTTTCTTTTGCCTAATGGCAACCATGGGTTCTGTTCCAAAGAGAACTACATGGGAAAGCACAACTCTACTCAAGCCGCATTATGTTAAAACCTCCGAATGGTCAGAACTGTTATTATCTATGTATTACAGTTAATCCCACTGTTTCAAAATATTCTTAACGGTGGCTGTGGAAAGATTAAACCTCAGAGATTCCCATCATGGTCCTGAAGAAAATGCTTCACATATATAAACATAACATCTTGACTAAACCTTAAAAAACTTTCAAAGGCATTCATTTAGCAGATTTGTACATGGAGGTATTACTTCTCAAAAATAGCTGGAAGAGTGGCTGTAACTTCATATAACTGATGAGAGAAGGGGAGAGTGCCTTACATCTTTCTTTTCCAAAGTGTTGCTTCATGATTACTATCTAAACCCTGCTGGGCTGAACAGATTGGTTCGATAATTACATACAATAACTGCAGTGGGCAGGTAACCCTCAGCTGGCACAGGGCAGCTCCCCTGTGAGAACTTCCATATGCAAACTGCACTGATGGAGTGCATTAGGTACATCTTTCCTGCCAGTGCACAGGCCTGATTAACGCCAGCCAAGACTCCAAGGTTAGCATGTCAGCAGATTTGTGATGCATTAGGCAGGAATAAACACAGACACTTTTGTTCGTTCGGACCAAAATTAAGGAGGAATATTTCAGTACTATATTGCTTTCCATACAGGAGAGAATGCATTTTCCAGCTTTAGGAGGGCAGATTTTTAAATGCTCATTATAAAGGGAGCTATCCAATATGTTCTACCTAAGAGCCTAGTGCATTCATCTTGTTTTCAAGCTTATTTAATAAAAAGGAGCTTTCTTAATCTCCGTGCAGGTAAATTACATAGGAATGAAAATCAGACAGTATTCAACCAACAAAAGAAACACCTGTATTTCAGCAGTATGTACTGGGGAAAGCACTGAATTTCATTAATCCACACTTCAACTGGGTATCTCTTGCCCAACTTTTCTGACAATGTATATATCAATAGTTTGGATAGAAAGGACCAACAGTCTACAGACTAAGATCAATTAACAACCACCTTCAAGTTAAAGAATATCTAAGTCTGTTATTCATTGCATAAGGCGATGAGTAAAATTCCAAACAATTTGCTGCCAGCTTCTTTCTACTGATATCACCAAATGCTTCATTTTGTTATTTGACAACTTCTTAGGCTTCAAATAGTACATAGTTTGGTTCTCTTTAAACAGAAAATGGCTTCACAAAGTGCATTAATCTCTGATTTTGTCATATGCCATACCAGGTCTCACAGGTGCCTTTATTTACATTTATAAATGAAATCAAAATATTGCATGACACACAAGAATAATTCATAAAGTTAGGACAGAGTTTTCTTTTAATTCAGCATGGCTAAAATATCTTTAAAAACTAGGTTTATTTTAAAGGGCATTAGTGTATATATTACACATTGTATTTTTGCAGTGCTCAGACTGCTAGGCTAAAACTTAGTTAAATTAGCAGCTTCTCACTTCCAATTTAGAAACAGGAAGACAAATCAGCGAGATGCATCGGAGATTAGTTATAGACTTAAAGCTGTTTTAATGGAAAAGAGAATAAAAGTCTTCAGAGACAAAAACCAAAGACAATTCTTTACATCCCAACTCAAACATCCAAAGATACCCTCTAAATGCTTTCAACAGCATCTAAGAGAAGCCAATCAGATTCATGCTTGCATCAAAGGAGATGGGTACTGAAGAACTGTTGTTGGTTTTTTCCCCCTTATTACAAAAGTCATGAATATTCATTATAGAAACTTAGAAGGTACAGCCTAAAATGTTTAAATGGTACTGCACGTGTGTGTGTCAAAGAACAAAGAACTCTAAACACAAACATGAGACTGCAATACGCAGTTAATCTTATTGGACTCATTTGATTAAGGCCACTGAAATCATCATGCAAATGTATACCCTTTAAAAATTACTATTACATTCCTTAATAGTAAGCAAAAATAGAATATGTTACTCAGTGTTAACTAAAAAGAAAAAGGACATATCTTCTATGAAGGTAAAGAAACGTATGTGCTACACCACAATATTTACAAAACCAATGGATTTTACTTAAACTTCCCTATATAGACAGAAAAAACTGAGGCTGGGGACAAAAGAAAGCTGGGAGAAGCCGCTCAGTGTTTCTAGCTGGTGGTGGTGAGAAGACAAGAGCTAAGGGTTCTTGGTTCTTATTAGAACTTCTTTCCACAGAACCACGCTGCCCCCCACGGGACTTTTCGGTGTGAAGTGGCAGTTTCCAGCCGTGGTGCTTTCGTTGTAACAGATCCCTTCCTAGAGAGCTAGCGCAAACATACATACGTGTGTACTTGGCAAGCCCAGGGTCACACTCTACTTTTCGTCTCTCCCACCCTGGACACTCCTGGAGGGCAAGCACTGGGGTTTTCCCCACACGCTATTATGTACCTTACACACACACAAATATCTAGGGGTCTGCACTGCTGAGCAACTAGTCCACTACTATTGTAGTAATAAAGAGCTGACTACGTGTTTTACCAAAAGCCCCTCAAAAACTGTGTAATGTTTAAATGGACATTAAGTAATTACAGAAATGTTTTGAGAAAAAGCAGGAAAAGGTCAGACACAACCGAAAAGAGAACAGATGAAAAGATGGGAAGTGGGTCAGAAAGTGAGTAAGTGACTTAAATGAGAGATGAATTTGAAGAATGGTCTAAAAAACTGTTATGATACACTGAAGTGATTTATTATTTTAAACAAGTTTCCATGGTAAAGGCTGCGATAAGAATAACGCACACTACAATTTCCTTCCGCAGTAACCCTGATTCTATCGGAAGAGAGGAATCCCATCATGTATTTTCTAAGCACCTACTGTGTGCTGGGCACTGTTTCAGGCTTCATTCTCATGGAGAAAAACAGACACTAACAAATCGTTAAAGCAAAAGAGTAATTTTAGCTTTTATAAAAACATTAAGCACACACAAGTTAAATTTCTAAAACTATTTGCATTTATGTAAGCCCTATAAGAAGTCATTTCAGAGTTCCGTAAATGAGTCTTTTTGAGTAAGCGACCAATGTAATCCCACACACATGGGATTTCACTCTGTGAAATATCAATCCATCTGTAAATGTAACACAGGCACGAGTGCATGGCCAAACCCTGATTTTGTTTTTTGTTTAAATTTAGATATCTCTCCTGTCCACATATTTAATTATCTATTCTGAAGGTAGTTAATAATTAACATATTACTCGAGCAATTTTATCATTTATTAGCAGGTCTGGGGGTTTAGCAAAAAAAAAAGCATGACTAACAAAATGTGGAATACCTGTGTCCTTCACTAGTTCAAGCTTTCCCACTCTTATGCCATGAAGAATGAAGAATTTGCTGTAATTATCTGAAAATGGTGCACCAAAGATTATTGCTAACTCACGAGTTAGCAAATGATACCGATGCATTTGTATACTCTGTCAGAATAGATAAACAAATGAAAAAACTGCACCTAGGTGGCAAGCAGAATTGACTGCTTGCTCCATGGGCAGCACACTTTTAGCAAAAGCACTGCTTTCACAAAGTACGCGTATTTGTCTACTTGCTTATCTGGAGCGAATGTGTGTCCCT